TTTGTTTTAAACTGTTCTTCCTCCTTTTAGAATAGTAAGTGACCTAGTGCTAAGGAGGAGATAGAGAAGAAAGTGAAACTTCTAAGCCTAGTTTTATTTTCCAAACCAAAGAGCAAAAATCAAAATGGGTAACAGGTAAATTTTATTTTCAAAAATTATTTCCATTTAACAATATTTAAAATAAATATATATATATTACTTTCATCCTGACAGTGTCCCATTAAATATATAACAGAGTTCAATTCTAGAGCTAGCAGCAATTAACAAGAATAGCCCATGACCCTGCAAACACTTACACGTGAGAGTAATTTTATGTATGGCCCATGGAGGACAATGGTGACTCACACATGTGTTTGCGAGATCAGGGCTACAGTATAGTGATATGTAAAGATAACACAGAAGGGGAGCTGTAGCGCACAGTAGGAAGATCCTAAATCACTAGGATGCACCACAACTGCTAATGTACAGGGCCGGCTCCAGATTTTTTACTGCCCCAAGCAGCGAAGCCGGGAAAAAAAAAAAAAAAAGAATTTTGTGCTGCCCCAAAATTCCATTTCCATTGAGCACTTCCATTTTGTCTAAAGGGCAGGTTAGGCGAGGCGTGACTGTACATTAAAGAATCATTGTGAGCAACTGGGTCTCACCATGCACTGAGGTTGCCAGGGTGGCCTTCCTTGGGCAGCTATTTACAGTAACTCCTCACTTAACGGTGTAGTTATGTTCCTGAAAAATGTGACTTTAAGCGAAACGATGCTAAGCGAATCCAATTTCCCCATAAGATTTAATGTAAATGAGGGGGTTAGGTTCCAGGGAAATTTTTTTCACCAGACAAAAGATACATACATACATACATACATACATACATACATACACATACATACATGTATATATATATATACACACACACACACACACACACACACACACAGTATAAGTTTTAAACAATTTAATACTGGTACACAGCGATGATGATTGTGAAGCTGGGTTGAGGTGGTGAAGTCAGAGGGTGGGATATTTCGCAGGGAATGCCTTACTGCTAAATGATGAACTAGCATTTGGCTGAGCCCTCAAGGGTTAATTGGTTGTTAATGTAGCCTCACTCTACAAGGCAGCAGGCATGGAGGGAGGGGAGAGAGCATAGCAGACAGAGACACACACCATGTGTCTGAGAGCGAGAGATGCACATTTCCCCTTTAAGTAGCTGACCCCAGTCTTAAGTACACTGCCTTGTTAATTAGATCAGCTTGCTGAGACCACAGCTGCTGCCTGAAAGCTCCCTCCGTCCAGAACCCTGTCGTATGTACCCCCTGCTCTATGGAAATGGGGTAAGCGGGTACAGGAGTGAGGGGAGGGGGGCACCCTCACATTAGCCCCCCACTTTCCCCCTTTCCCCCCATACAGCAAGCAGGAGTCTCTGGGAGCAGCTCCAAGGCAGAGGGCAGGAGCAGCACATGGCAGTGGGGGAGGGACAGCTCAATGCCAGCAATTGCTAGCCTGCTGGGCAGCTGCAGCACAGGGAACTTAGGGGAGCGGGGAGCTGATAGTCCACCCTGATTACAAGCCCCCACCAGCTAGCTCCAACAGGCTGCTCTTCCTGCAAGCAGTGGACAAAGCAGGCGGCTGCCAAACGACGTTAGAAGGGAGCATTGCACAACTTTAAACGAGCATGTTCCCTAACTGATCAGCAACATAACAACAAAACAACGTTAACCGGGACGACTTTAAGTGAGGAGTTACTGTATTCTGAATGGAGTATTCCTCCCTTCTAAGTTACTGCAACATGCACAATTATAAATATTTACTATATGTTTTCTATTTTTAGTTTATAAAGGTAATGTTTCCAAAAAAAAAAAGCTATTGGAAATCCAGCGGCAGATGGGCAATCCACATTTTAAAAAAAGAGCATAGTCATACAGTTAAAATATTGTTTAGTAAAGAAAATGATTTTCAGGAACAATTTAATAAGACTGGATAACATGTTAAATCATGGGTTCCAAACGCACATTTAAAAATCTTTATTGCACATTAAGTGCCAATAAGTTATATAAAATGTTGAGGTTTAACGGACATGTAGTATGGTATATAAACTAGTTATACCTCATTAAATGTCACTTCATCAATACTTTTTTAATGAACATACACATCATTGTATAAGCCCAGTCAAATTAATGGTAACTTTCAAATCAGTTTGGTAACTTAGTTTAAATTGTTTTAAGGGTGGACTGGAGGTTAGAAGTTATCTGTTCTGATATTGGCAGAACACAGAGCAGCTGTTTAAATATCTTATCAGCCCATAAACAGAGAGGTGAGAAGTAGGCAAGGCACAATTCTCTTCTATGGAGGAACTATCACTGCCATTCTCATTAACCTCCTATACACTGTAGTAATAATTGTATCGTTAAATTTATTAATCTTATTTGGGTTACTGCTGATTATGTACTATACACATTGTATTACTTTTAAACCAACCTTTGTGCTTTTGAATAATTTAAGCACTATACCCAGATGTACAGACACTCTTTTCTTAACCTATGTATTATATAATTTTAACATTAGCTTTAATAAAAATTTTAAATTTCTATGAAAGCTTCAAAACAAGGCAAACAAAATGGAACTGTTGAAAGGAATCATCTACATGGCAGAAATCACGATGGGCTGGTGGCACTTTTATTGTTATCAGGCAAGATGAAAATCAGCTGTTGTCTTGTTCTCACTACATTTCTATAGGTTTAAAGGCCAAATTCTGCCTTCAGATGTAAATGTGGGTCACCCACTGAAATCTAAGCAGTGATGTACATGCATCCAAAGGCACTTTTGGTTTTACTTTTTTTTTAATTAAGGCATTGATAAATAATAATAATAATTATTATTATTATACTTAGTTTTTATATAACCCTTTTCATCCTTAGAGCTCAAAGCACTTTATTTAAAGTTTAAGTTCTTTAACTTCAAATTTATAACACTTCACTATTTATTACCCCCCATGTATAGATGGGGAAACAGAGGCACTGAACAATTAACTGACTTGTCCAAGGTCACGCAGCAGATCAGTGACAGTGCCAGGAACAGGACTAGGTCTCAAGTCCAGTTCAGTGGAGCCACTGGACCACAATGCTTCTTCCAACACTAAAAAGAAATGAACGAAAAATCTAGCCATTATATTGGTGACCCAACTTGCAACTTGAGTAAGGGTTGTTTTTTTAGGCTAAAAATTAATTTACAGAAAGATGAGGGTTATGTGCTTATCCCTCACTCACACAATTTCCAAAATATATCAGCGATGTTTTTTAACCAGTTCTGACAAGAAACTCAGCTCTCTACAATACATAGAGGAAGACACCATGACTGCCTCAGGGGCTTACAAGCTATGAGAGATAGAGAATACTGTTAAGATACATAATACACAACTGATCTGCTGATGATTCAATTTCATAATGTTGCAGGGTTTTTGGGTTGATTTTTGTTTGGCTGGGTTTTCTGTTAAATGGTTGGAGATTTTGGTGATTCATCACCGAAGGGCTTAGCTGCAAAAGTGAAGGATTGAACGAAGAGCTGGCGCAAAAGAGGAGAGACACCATTCATGCATATGGGGCAGTGTTTATAAAAAAAAAAAAAAAAAAGGACAGAAAATGAAGTGTGGGAGAGGAATGCACATTCTATACAATGTACTTTTTCCCCTTTAGTGTCAATGAATCCCTTACCACTTCTGAAGAGTCTTCAATCCCAAACATGTCATACACAGTAATATCAGATCATCACAAGGGTTTCTAGCACTCCTGACACCATAGACTTAAACCTGTGGAATTCACTGACACTAGAGGCCAGAGTCAAATACTATGGCTGGATTATTTTTATTTGTAACTAATAAAAATATTTGTTTGATTACTACGTGAATTACAGTAGCACTTAGAGGCCCCAAGCACACAGTAAGAGGTTACACTCTGAATAGTTATGTACATTAAGATAAGGGCAATCAAATCTCACTGGTTTCTGTGGGATCATAAAAGAATTAAGTACCCTTAACCAAATGTACATTATACAGTAGTTAGGCGCATGACCTGCAGTTTATACATCTTTCTCTGAAGCATCAGGTATAGCATGACATTTCTACTTGCAATATGGGCCTGATCCAAAGCCCACTGAAGTCAGCGCAAGTCCTTCCATTGACTTGAACAGCTTTTCGTCAGGCCCCATATTCTTTGGGATGAACCAACCATCTGATCTAACATGGCAAATCCTATCATTCTTTCCTCTATATTGAAGTTCAGCATGAGTATAACTTTCTGTACAGTGCTGTTGGAACCATAGCCTCCTTTTTCACTCTACCAAAATCTAATGCAGACATTCTGAAAAAGTTCACTCCCAAGACACTCCCTTGATTGATTCTACTCCCCCCTTATTTTCTTGTTCTGAATGCAGCTTTATTCAAGGCACTGGTATGCAATAAGTTTTTTTTATTATTGAATGCAAGTATTTCTCTCTCACTCTCTCTCACAAATAAGCCCCAAAAATAAAGGACAGTATGAAAGAGGAAATGTTATTTAAACAATAAAATATGACGAGGGAGATGCTGGCATGCATTTTGAGGAAGAATGCAGAAAGCGGAGTGACTTCACTGCCATTAGTACGGTATTATTACCATCACCTCACTTTGACTTCCTGCTATTTTAAAACGGTAACTTGTAAATGTTCTTCATACAACACTTAGACAGTTTGCAAAATTCCAAACCATGCCGAAGCCCTCTCACTGGCTTAACATGTTGTTCTTGCTTTTCTGGATACTATTTTCTAACAGGTCTGCTTTACTAAGTGCAAATCTCAATGCACTTTTAGCTACAGAGTTGCTACTTATGCATAAAGTATAAGTATAAACTATACGCACACATACGTGCCTACAAATACACACATACAACTGCATATTTAAGGGACACAAACACCCCTATATCTGTTTATATACATACAGACACTTTCATACGATGATTTCGCTTAGGATGAACAAAGCTTCACGGAAATCAGCTTTCACCACACCGAACAATGGTCAGAGTGTATAAAAACTGAGCTCGCTTTTACTATCTTATAATTATATTCAGGGGCCTTGCTTTAAAGGTCTATGTACCTTCTGTAAGAAACTTTAATATGCATAAAAACATGGTCTATATTTATAAAAAAAGATTACACAACTAGCCTTTAGGGTCTCAGGCACTTTTTCCCCCTATAAGTTCTCATACTGAACACACTCACTGATCTTTATCACCTCCCCAACATCATGTGAAAGTGTCACTGCAAGTATTACTCTGTGAGCCCCATGGATTATTGTATTCTGCTATCAGATACCTAGCACTGTACCCTCTCGTGTTTACCCAGTTAGTCCAGCAAAGATATGGATAGAGCAACATGCCACAGCAGCAGAGCCCATAACTGATGATCATCAGTAGGGCCCACTACACTACTTGCGTGTTAGAAAAAGCATGGGCATGAGATGGCAATGGAGTTAGTTTTTGTGGGTTTCTTTCAAAGGGAAGGCTACAGCCAACTGGCCTCTGCATTACCATTATCAGGGTTGGTAAACATCCTACTTGCACTGGAGACGGTCTTCCCGATGTCAGCCAGAGAGCGTAGGTTGGATTTCTTGGTCTGGTGCCGGTGCTTCCTGAGCAGCGTGTAGGTGACCTTGTCCTTCATGTCTAGTTTCAACAGGCCCGTCTCAATTTGATTGTCAACAACCATCTCTGTAACAAAAAGAAATAAGGGAATGGAGAGGGGAGAAAAATCACAAAGAGTAAAGTTATTTAAACAATTATTAGCCTGCTAGCTTCAGCTAAGTGCCTGGTTTCTTGAGTTCAACCTACTTGTTCCAGGGCTTTCCCTCTTCTCCCAACATTTTTTTTTCTTTAATAACGTGATTTTTTTATGTTTAAAAGTAGGTTTCCCTTTTAAGAATTTCTTTTGAAACAAAACGTAAGTATGTTTGTCTTCCAAAAGTCACCAGCCCTGTTCCAGGAGGCCCCTAAAAGAAACACTGCTATCATACCAATATAAGACTAGATCCCACAACACTCACACTAGTAATTGCATTGACTTCAGAGGGAAGGACTGCTCTCTATCATCCAGAAAGGGAAAGAATCTGCTACACAAAATGAAAAATGCTCATGGATACCTACTGTCATCAAGATGCTACAGCAACACCACAGGTGAAATTCTGGCTCCAACGTCTATTGACTTCAATAGGGCCAGAATTTCACTCCAGAGGTCTCCAACTAAATGCAATTTAACAAGAACTATGGAGTAAAATTCCTGGGAATGACTGAACAATTAAACTACAGTTTACCCCTACATCCACAGTAAATTAACATCAACTACATGAGGTAGAACTCACTCTCAATTCTATGATCCCTAAAGAAATTCTCTTATAAATATGAACTTGGGAAAGTCATCCAAAGGCAAATATTCCAGGATTTATGGGGTCTCAAGTCCAAGAGCATTTTCTTTTTCTTGCTCTTTACTAAGACTCTTCCTGCAACCCCCAACCACTGCCTCACTCAAATTATCTGCAGAAGGGAGCAGCATTGGAATTATCACCTCTGCTGACCATCAGTATTGTCAGTTCAGGCAAAAATGTATCGTTTTAACACCTGCATGTTTCTGCCTTAACTAAGTCTCCATATAACTGCTTCCAGCCCCATTCCAAACCTTCCCCCTTCTCATCAACCTTCTCATTCTGTCCCTATATCAGGGAAATCCTTATAAAAACAAAAGAGATAGACACATTTACTGAGAATCTTAATTCCCCATTCAAGTCATATATTAAGTTACCCATTTTATTAATTCAATGTTTTTGTTCCTGGAGGGAAGGTCTCAGCTCTTACTTTCACTTGTGCTAATTTAAAAAAAAAAAAAAAAAAAAACTTGTGGGAAGTTAGAAATACAATGGGCAAAAATTTGCCAACTCAATTAGTTCAGGGCATCAGTTGTCATATGCCAACCTAGAATTAATTCTTTCAAATCACTAAGAAAAAAGCCTAAAATTTCTACTCCAATTCACCTGAGCATGTGTGTGTGTTTGTGTTTACATGTGTGTACATGTGTGCAAACAAAAGACATTTTGCAAAAAAGAGGCTTTGTGCATTTTTCCATTTAATTTTTACTGTTTGTATTCTATTTATTTAAACACCTGTGGAGAAGGTCAACTTTTCTTTCCCTGTCAATTTTATCTTTTTTTCCACTTGGCAAACTAACTCCTCTTCCCCACCTTCCATGCTCCTGATACAGTACAAAGCAACAAATCTGTGAGTTTTACTTTCTTGTTTGTCGTCATCATCATTAATGAAGTCATCAGTGACTGTATAACTCCAGGAATGGAGTTTGCAGTTAACTAGTTGTCCCTCTACTGCCTATCTGGCTTCTACAGCAGCAGAGCAAGAAATATGGTTATATCAACCATAGCTATTAATTTTTGATTTAATTCATCAGTGATAAGAGCACAGATTTAAGGGGAAGAAAAGAATATTTAGGGCCACATTTTCAAAGTGGCCTCAACCAGCCCTCTAATTTTGGGTGATTAAAGTTTTGGGTCTCCAATTTTAGTGGCTGGCTTTTGGGTATTTTATCTCCAGTTTTTGCATACAAATTTCACAGTTATTATTTATGAATCAAAGACTGTGCTTGGTGCCGTATGAGAGACAGACATAAAAGCAGCTATTTAACCCTATTAGCACACAAAACTTGGAGTGCTTCAAAATTGTAAGCCTCATGTTAAAGGCAGCTTTTGTAAATCTGGCTCTTAAACTATAAAAGGAACATGCCTCACCTGATGGTGACTTCATACCAGGACGCATTTGGACCCTAGCCTACGAGACAAAATTTCACTGTTTTTATGTGGAGAACTTTCAGAAATTAATCAATTATGCTATTTTTACTGATTCTAAAACCAAGTTATTGTTTATTTTAACTGTGCTTCCACCAGAGATTACTCTAACTAGCTTGTTTTCTGTTTCTTGTTTAATGAAAATTCTCATACATCAGTGAGAATATAGTATTTACAGCAGTCACCAGAGGTCATGCAATACTATAGTTCTTTTCATACAAAAAGCATCTCGCCATGGTGCTCAAAAGACATCAGCAGCTCTGTGGAGCAAATCCCCTCACTTCCCTTCAGTCCCCTCCTTTGTAGGCACAGAGCACTCACACCATGGGCCAAGTCCTACCCCCTTTTACCACCCTATTCTGAAAACTGGCCCATCATATCAATTTTGGGTCTCGCCAGCTGTGTCAAAAATATGAGAAACATTCTCTACGAAGCAGTGATTGTGAAGTAGTCTTTTCCTAACAGATGTGAACTTGAAAGTTTTATGTTTCTGATGCTACACACAGCCTGTAGTATTCCCTTCACGCATACGCAGAGAAGGCTGCTAATGCATAGCTGACTCGCTGTCTTAGGTACCTAGTGCACGTGAACATAGCCCTGTTTGAAACGGAACTACACTGATGTGTACTAGAAACTTTTCAGTGCACGGCAGCAGGGTCTATATAGGGCAGAGGACAACATGTTAAAAGCACACTACATTTCACAACCCTGTAGTCGAGATTGCGGCACCATGTTGACAAGCCCTTAGCTATTTTTAGCATTCCAATCACCTGAGTATCTAAATGTGAAATACAATACAATGATAAGCATAACAATCAATGTGGAGGAGTCCCCTCATTCCTACCTATGCTCTGGTGCTACAACTTTATTTTCCTTCCTTCTCTTCTTCCCCTTCTTTTTCCATCCTCCTCCTACCTCCTGCTTTCCTGTTATTGCTAGTAGGGTTGCTAAGGTTGGTTTTGCACTGGGGTCTCCGCTGAAAAAGGATGGGCTATCTCATTTTAACCTCTTCCAGTAAGGTGCTCCACAACCTAAGACGCAGCATCACAAAAGCTCTGCCTCTAGCTCTCAAAATGCCACTGCAGCATTTCTAATAGAGCTGGTTGAAATTTTTCAAATATTGGCATCAAAACAAAAAAGGGGGTGAGGGAAGGCTAATGAAATGTTTGTTTCCCCTTCTCCCCTTCACCCCGCAATTTTTCAACCAATTATAGAGCTGGGCACTTTTTTTTTTTTACCTTTGAAATAAAATAAAAATAAAGCACAAGAAAACATTCATGACACTTCTTCCTCTTACTTCCAACCAGCACTCCTGTTTCCGTGTCCTTCATGAACAAAGCCATCTTGGAGGATCATGGATGATGAGGTAGATGTACCTATCTTATAGAACTGGAAGAGACTTTGAAAGGTCATCGAGTCCAGTCCCCTGCCTTCACTAGCAGGACCAAGTACTGTCCCTGACCGTTTTTTGTTGTCTTTTTTTTTGGCCCCAGATCCCCAAATGGCCCCCTCAAGGATTGAACTCACAACCCTGGGTTTAGCAGGCCAATGCTCAAACCACTGATGGTTGCCAGTGTAGCCTTAGCCTGGTCCACAACTATTGACCCCATAAGGTAACACAGTACCCGAGGGGAGCACGGAGCACAGAGCACTGGTCAGGTGCACTCTTGGTGACTATTCTTGTTTCAGAATCAGATTGCCACAGACTGTATCAATATTTTTTCTAACATCAAAGATGACAGTTCTGTGTATAAACATGTGCAATTTATTTTGTTTCTTAATGGTTTATTATTTGCAAGCTGTGGCTGGACAAATAATTGTACATCATCAATGGCTCTTGTACATTGTTCTGTATGTGCACACAAGTTATTTATACATATCAATTCTTATGTGGGGAGCACAGATAGCTTGCTCAGTGCTATCCACAACACAGAGGAAAACCGTTCCTGCCCTAAGAAGCTTACAATCGATGATCAAGATCCTGCAGAAATGTACACATGCTTGACTTTATGCAGTGAGTAATCCCACTGAAGTCAATAGAGAAAATAAGCTTTGAGCTATTCTAATGATAACAGGCCAAATGCACTGAAGTCAATGGGTCTTTGCATGATTGGAGTCTAAGATAACACTTGACATTTGAAATTCCTCCCACCCAGCACCTAGTGTCAATCAAAATACAGTTGATACCTTCTTGCATGAATTAATTAAAATTAAATTGCTGAGAGGGTCTATCTGGCTTAGGGAAGTAGCATTGCCATACAGAGCCTGAAGCCAATCAGGACAGTAGCAAGTAAAAGCGGATACCAACTGATGATTATTTGGTGGCCTATAGTCTGGTGATCACAGTCCAGTTGCAAGGTGAGCTTAGAATGGGGGATGCTCCGTAGTTTAAAGGGCATTCCTCATTTGATGTCTAATGTCCCACATCAAGTCGATACAGTACTTGCTTTGGCTCCATTTTCAGCAATAATCCAACATACCTACATATACCCATTATTCCTGCCATTTTTCAGATGAGCCTTATCTACACAGAGGAAAAGCCTGGAATAGCTAATGCAGAAGTGGATTAACCTTAAACCGCAAAAGGGCACCCCTAGTGCCGAATAAGAGCGTCCACAGAGGAGTTAGTGTGGAACACCTACTGCTCTTTAAATTCATACCCTAGCTATTTTGGACCAACTTCCCCTTGTAGACAAGGCCAGTTTCTTGGGGGTGGAAGGGTGCACGCTCAAAGTTTCGAGGAGAAATCTTTAAAGTTGTTTCAAGTTACAGGAAGCAGTTTGGGTTTGAAGATGACTTAGGGAAACAGTTTGTGCTTTTAACTGGGATTCCTGTAAGAACAAAGGTGTGGAAACAAAAGTGGATTTCCGGGTGATAAGGGATCGGGCTAAGGAATTTCCCTCAGTCAATAAGAGGTAATAAGCGCATGCTTTTAACGAAGAGTAAATCCAGAGTACAGGGAAGTTAAAAATTCATATTAAAGCAACCTGGCGAAGAATTTAGCCCTGGCTTGGAGCTCAGGCAGAGGAGGAGGTTGGGGAAATTTACTGATGTTGCCAGTTACATCTTTTTAGATAAAATCATGCTGCCATTTATTTTTTGTTTTATAGGAAGGAGTTGGGAAACGTGCTTTTTAGACAGATATAGGTCACTGGTTTGAGTCACAAACATATCACTCAAGGGTATTCCCCCCCAACAATGAGAAAAAGGAATCTTAGAGAATCCACAGAGCAGAGGAGAGCTCAGAAGTCCTCAAACAAGTACCAACACTATCAGCAAATAGGTAAAACTGAACCACTAAAACTATGCTCAGTTCTGCTATTACAAAGTGAGATCCAATCTATGAATTCGTTAATGCCACAAAGCAAAAAGCCCCAGGTGAGGGTTTAACTAACACAGACTGTAACTGCTGCACTCTTGTAGCTGGTATTAGTGACGTGCTTGAATATCACCTTGGATGTGGAAACTATTTCTCTGTTATTCTGTTACACCATGAATTAATAATAAACAGAAAGAGAAATACCAATTCACAGGGTAATTCATTATAAAAGGAATTCAGTTTCTCTCATTAAATGTGTCTATAGTTTTTCCCTTAAACAAGTAGAGGGTAAATATTCTCAAAGATTAAATTGCAGTGTTGCCCACTAATGATATTTGCTGTTTTTCTTCAAGCCTCAGCTCCTGGAGCCATGTCATTAAGTGAGAGATAAAAAAAAAAAAAAAAAAAAATCTACTCATGGTTACAGAGAAAGTCTTGGAAATGTGAACCCTACAGGCTCAAAAAGGTGAAAGAAAATAAAAATAACCTAAGATTTCTTATTTTTTAAAATCTCATTTTTAAAATCAATCCCATGATATTTTGAGGGCAAACTCATGCTTAGCCCTGGAACAACTCTACCCTGAAGTCGCTATAGTAGTTTTAGAGGCAAGTAGAGTGAGTCCCTCAAAGAGGAACTGTGGAATGTAGTGCTCAGCATTAGCCTAATTCTGTCGTCAATGGTACTATTACCAGTGAGTTCATTGGGAGCAGAGATAGACCAACACTGAGCGCTTTTGCAAAGCCCAACATGTAAAGTCTGACAGCAGTGGAGTGTGCATCCCCCTTCATGCACAGAACAGTGACAACACAGGTAGCAGTGATGCAAGCTACCCCACATTGCTCTAATGTGCCTGAACCCTGACTGGGAGCAATCACCTCTAGGAGCAAGAGAATAAGTTACTCTCCATTCTCATCCACTGCTCCACTTCTCAGGTGAGATGGCCAACAGACGTGCTCGTTCATGGCAAATGTAACGGTGGTTCCTATGACATGGACGTCTATTCACTCAGAGCTGGACTGAAAGCATCAATCGTTTTGCATAGGCTACTGAAGAGCCATTGAATGGCAATAGCTTTCAACCACAACCAAGCAGGGCCGTATGCTACAGGTGAAGGACTTTGTATCTTCCAAGCCACCCAGCCCAAGCTACTCCTGTCATTCCAGAAAGCCTGGCACATGGGTTGGCATGGAAGCCAACAAGCTCAGTCTTTCACTTTCACTGACAGCCATTATTCAGGCTCTGAGGAAGAGAGCATTGGGGGTGGTGGTGGGGGGGAGGATTATTGAAAGAGCCTCCATGGAAGCTTACTTACCCACTACCTGAGGGAGAGAAGTGGCCTCCAAATCAAGCAGGATGGATCCTTTCTCTATACACGTCCTCAGTTCGAACAAGCTGTGCAGGGACAACGTCGCGACATGAGGCTTGCTCCATCTCTCTCCGCCCTGTTCCACTTTCTCTTCAAACTTTATCCACCTATGGAAGGGCAGAGCAGCAAGAAGAAGTTAAAAATGCGGCCTCTGGCATTTCTGAAAGAGCCAAAAACAGCCAGATTGTCACAGGGTGTTGCCAGGTTTAAATGTACATGAGGTCATGGACACGTCACTCTAAATTAAGACAAAGGAAATGAAACACGACAACTATACCAATGCCACCCACTATTTGAACAGGTCAAAGGTTTGCAAGTTAGCCACCTAATCCATAGTGGGCCACCTAGATTAAAGTGACTTGATTTTCAGAGGTGCTGAGTCCCCAAAGTCCCCAAAGGACAATGGATTATCAGCACCTCTGGAAATAAGATCACTTTCATTTAGGTGCACCTAAAACACCTAAGTTTGAAAATTTTGGCCACGGTTTTTAAAAGGTACCAGGTAAGCTGTGACAAGCAGAAAAGTAAAACGACTGAAATATATCAGAGAGAAATTACAAAATGGATCTTAGTTCACGGATTTTTATTTTTCTTACACTTGGTCACACTTTGAACATAAGAGGGGAATAGCCAATAAAATAAATAAATAAATTAATAATAATAATAAATACCGCCCAGCTCTTATATAGTGCTTTTTATTCATAGACATCAAAACACTTTACAAAGGAGGAAACTGAGGCACAAAGAGGTGAAGTGACGTGTCCAAGGTTACACAGCAGCCCTGTTGGCAGAATTGGGATTAACACCCAGGTCTCTTAATTCCCAGTTTGGAGTCTGTCAATTGGGTCAAGAAACACAGAACCTCCACTTTACATTCTCTCTGGCACATTATTGCTCACTATATAGTATGTGAAAGACAATCATGTACAGTCAATTTTAAACTTATAAATAAAGAAGATAGTTCTTTGTCAAAAAACTCACTAGCTTGCCTGAAACATCAAAATGGGGAGTGGGGGGAAAATCAGCTTTCATGAAGCCTTTCTTAATTGAAAAAAAAAAAAAAAGTTATTAGTTTTCTACATTCTGTATCTAGTTGTTTAATGATTCAATGACATTTTCCTGGGGGAAAAAAACCTGCAAGCTCATCTCTCTAGTAGAAGATTAGAGCAAAGGTTAAATACCATTGCATGTAAAACATTATTTACACACCTAAAACCATGCCATCAGGTTAAAACATTAAAGTATCAGGCCTAAACCTTCAAAAGCAAAGAAACTAAAATATCTTCAATTCTCGCTATTGTGCCTAAGTATAGCAGATCATACAGGAGTGTGACCTGCAGGCCAATACTTAATGCAGCCAACAGCCAGGTGAGTTCTTTCCTTCTCATACAACACAGGTAACAAAAGTTTTGCAAGTCAAATTCTGCCCTCAACAACCCCTGCCTAACCGCTGATGCGATCAATTGGTTTGCACAGGTGTGACTGATTGGAACTTAGTAAACAATTCCAAGGAGGCATAAGAAGGAAAAAAATTCAGCTTTCTTCCTTAGTCATGTTAACTACTACAGTGCTAGCAAAAGAAAGGGAAACCCATAAAAACTAAATTTCTTTCTCTACAGAAAGCAGATGTGACTGATACACACAGGGAACCATGAGTAAGGAGGACGTATTTTTACATAAATCGATTTTCAGAGTAGAAACATGCTTAATTTAAGCCATTCCTGGATATTATTTTAACAGATTTTGAAAATAAACATTTTGAGACTTTTAAAAAACTACTTTTTACCCAAACAAAATGTTGTGACTTTGGTCTGAAAGTACTCAAGGAGGACTGTTCAGTTTACAGAGGCTGGGTGTTCCCAGTTTACTGAATTTTAACCTGCATGAACATAAAGTCTGCAAATTAAAATTGACATTTTTGTTGAAGGTGTATAATTCACAATAAAGCACTTTCCCATGTTTGATTTGGATTTGGTTTTTATTTGGTTTTCTCCATATAATCTGCAATATTTAGCTTTGATAAAGTAAGCTTTAACTTATTTTTATAAGTGTTTGAACTGTTAACTGCTATATTTAGTGCACTCCTAAAGCTCTACTGAATAGATTTTCCTGCAAATTCTGTTTCACAAACCAAACATTCTCCTAGGTGGAGACTTCCTGCAGTTCAAGCCAAGTCACATAGAAATCAATGGGAGCTTGAGCCTAGGTGCTTTTGAAAATCCCACTAAAAGCCTATCCGCATCTGTAGGCATCTAAATACCTATAAAAACCTGGTTCCCAGTCACTTCATTCTTAAATTCCCTTTGAATTCTTGAATGTCTACCACCTAATCTGGAAATTTATTTAGTTTAGCAATCTGTTCCAATTCCTCTTCTTTTGACACTTCAATCTCTGACAATGCCTTTTCTTTGATACCTGAAAACAGAGTAGGTTCAAGATAGGATGTTGTGTGTGATACCTGAGTGGTGAAGATTCATGCAAAGAAATCATTTAGCTTCTCTGCATATCGTTATTATTTCCTTTACTGCCTGGTAGTCCAGCAGACCAACCAAATCTCTCAGGCTTCTGATACATTTAAAGAATTTCTTGTTAGTTGTTATATTTTTTCACATTCCCTCATACCATAGAGCTCTTAATTTCCACCTGTTCACCTGGCTTTGTTTGCTGATGGTATGGAAGGATGAACAGAGATTAGCAGAAAAATTAAAACCTCGGCTAATCCAAATTTTAGTCAAATTTAGCTCTGATTCAGGGGCAGGGGTGACTCTAAAAATATTTTAATTTTACAAATAACTGTAGCCCCTAAATTGGAGGTTAGTGTTCAATAGTCCAGAGGGACAGGTAAGTTGCCTGGCTCAATTCAGTGCTTAGTCAGTGCTCATTACCTGTAGTTACTACGAGGAGAGCTAAAAATCACCAAGTTAAAGCCCCATCAGAGTAAAAAAAAAAAAAAAAAATACTGCAATTGAATGAGATTCAGTCCTAGTGTAACTTTTGTAACTTAATCATTTAAATAATTCAGCCATCTCAGAATTGCTAATAATATTATAATCATTCAGTTGCATTCCCATAAGTAATGTCCTAGACAGGACCCGCTCTTCTTGGAATACCCCTGAAAAGCTTATTAGGGGTTATAAAGTGAACCCCTTGCATGCTGGAGCAGAATGCTGGTAGCTCAGTTAGCACTGAGCAGATACCCAGATAGCACAGATATGTTCAGTACAGCTGCTATTTATGTACCTTGATACCAAGTCTCAAAAGACAAGATTAAAAGAAGCTCTCACAGCTTGGGATACAAAACCCTCTTTTATTAAGAATAACCAAGGTCCTGATCCTCCAAGGCCCAAGCTAGAATTTATTTTAGGTGTCAGAATCATTTTTGATGCATAACTTTGGAGGTCAAATTCAGGAAGTTGCATTTGCAGTTGGTTGAGCAAAGAGAACGTTCTCGGACAAGTGAAGAACTTTCAAGCGGATCAAAAGGGAGGAGATGTGTGTAAGTGCTACAGTACACCCTCGCTATAATGAACCCCAATAATATAATAATCCAAACCCTGTTCAGTATAACCAGGGGTTTGTTATAGCGGGGGGGAGGGAAACAGATCCTCCAGGGCCAGGGGAGCACTCCGCCCAGCAATGGCCCCGGGCCAGAGGACCTGTCACCTCCCCACCCCGCAGCCTTGGGACTGGAGGAGATCTCAGCGCCCCACACAGCAGGCGGGGCTAGAGGTGGGATCCAGGGACCACATTTGCTAGAGTCTAAGGTTTGCTATTACGAAGGGTGTTATAGTGAGGGTCTACCGTACGTGTACCCATTAATATTTACTGTGGTGTAAATTCAGAATTGTGGCGTTTCCTGGGTATTTGAAGAGAGAACGTCTATAAAAGCAGCATAACAACAAATAGATTCAGGGCAAGAGGTTGCTAGCTTGATTATTTGAAATATTTTTCATCACCTCAGTCCAGTTTTACTCCTGACCTCTACACACCTGGCTTCACTGCGTTGGCTGCACTGCACTGAACTCCCATCCAATACCCTGTTTTGATCACTTTGACTACTTCAGAGCAAAAAAAAAACTTTTTAAAACCACAGTTTATGCTTCCTGGGCCTCAACAATGTCCCAGATTTAGAAACTGCAGCATCCGAAGTCTCCCCGAAGTGCCCAGGGACACGGCACGCTTCGGATTTCAGAATTACACTGCCGGTCCCGGTTCAAAGAGCCAGCTGCTGGTACATTAGAAAAATCTGATGCAGATGCATTTAAATGCTCCCAAAACCATTTCCTTACACTCTAATACTGGTTTGAAAACTTGCTATGGGCCAGTTCAATGCTCACCATGTTTTAACATTGCTAACAACTGCTCTGGTCAATAGGCCAAGCAAGGGATGAAATTATTTTGTGTCTCCGCAAAAAGTGGTTGAAGAAGCCTATTTTTCCCCCCAATGATCCTTGTTATATACAATTCTTGGACAGTCTATCACAAGGCTAGGAATAGGGTTGCCAACTTTCTAATCACACAAAACTTAACACCCTTGCCCCGCCCCATCTCAGAGGCCCCGCCCATGCCCCACCCCTTTTCCAAGGCCCTGCCCCCCGCTTGCTCCATCCCCCCCTCCCCCCATCACTCACTCTTCCCCACCCTCATTCACTTTCAAGGGGCTGGGGCAGGAGATTGGGTGGGGCAGGAAGGGGTGAGGGGTCCAGCTGTGGGTGGGGCTGGGGATGTTGGGTTCAGGAGGAGGCTCCATCTGGGGTCGGGGATGAGGAGTTTGGGGTGAAGCAGGGAACTCAGGGCTGGGCCAGGAGGTTGGGGTGCGCGGGGCAGGGGGGTGTTCTGGCAGCTCTTACCACGGCTTTGAGGAAGCGGCCGCCAGGTCCCGGTGGCCTCTAGGCACATGGGCAGCCAGGTGGCTCTGCGTGGTGAGCACCGCCTTTGAGCCTGCAGGCACCACCCCCTGCAGCTCCCATTGGTCATAGTTACCAGCCAATGGGAGCTGCAGAGCAAGTACTCGGGTCAAGGGCAGCGTGCGGCGCTTCCCTGGCTGCCCCAGCACGTAGGGGCCGCAGGGACCTGGCGGCCACTTCCAGGAGCCGTGCAGAGCTAGGGCTGGCAGGGAGCCTGCCTTAGCCCTGGGCCCCTGCTGCACTACCGACCGGACTTTTAACAGCCCAGTCGGTGGTGCTGTCCGGAGCCGCCAGGGTCCCTCTTCGACCAGGCATTCCGGTCAAAAACCCGACGCCTGGCAACCCTAGCTAGGAACACACTGAAGGGAGGTAACACGCTGCTTGACATTGCTCACCAGAAGAGCAAGGAACACTGCAAAAAGAATTCCAAAGACCACAAAACCATTTCAGGTCTTTTTGGTGCGATCACAGGACCAGAGTTTTGGTATGATAGCCTCATTACTGGTACACTGGACTAGCTCCTGAGCGTACTCCAGTGGATCCAAAAATTCAAGTAGTAACCACAGGTCACTGCTAAGGTTTCAGGCCTTTTCATTTTGCTGCCAATTTACAATGTGTCCTTTAACTACTGCTGAACTGCAAAGAAGTTCTCCTGGAAGCACAACAGCTTCAACTTCGACACCAACTGAGTTAATTACAATTAGTATCAACCCAATGAACAAAAACTGCTAATGACCCAAACCTTCAGCTGTTACCTTTTAACAGCCATGACTTCTGCTGTTACTGAACGGCTCTGATGAATTCACATGGTCCCACGTGAACCTTGGCTACACTAGGATGCTCATATACACAGTCCTATCTAGCAGTTCCAGCAAAGCAGCAGGACACTGCATAAAGCATACAGCATTTAAAGGAAAACTATTCCTTTTCATTATACTGTGACTTGATAAAGCAAACTGAAGAGCCCATCCTCCAAAGTTATATCTACCTGAAGGCTTCTTTGAAATTACATGACAGCTGTGGGCAAGTATCCTTCAAGATACTTTGGTGATCCCTCATGAAAAACCTAGCTGAGACTCCTTTTTCTTTGGCTCTGAAAGAGGGTCCTTACAATTAAATACTGTCTTTTACCCACTAAGCCAAATCAAATTCACACCAACAGCTCCTCATCAGGTGTACGCTGCCTACCTCTTTATAATCACAATTAAAATAAAAGAGCAGCCTAAAAGATGTGCAATATTTGTGGAGTTAAGAGAAACCTCCTGGCCTATTTTCACACTGAAGGAAGAAGGCACATTCTGTTCCACGTAAGGAATTATAAGTTTAGGCACAAGACATGAAAATGGATAAATGGTTAATTTTTCTCATTAGATCTTCTAAAAGGGAAATGTGGTATAGTCAGTGGAAGGAATAATCAGCTTTAGAAAGCAGAGAGGTGATGCACACAACAAAATGCAAATACTGAACTAATGATAAGGAAAAGAGTAATACAGGGAGAAAAGAAAGACCAATAAGCAAGAATTTAAAGAGTACAGGTGAAGAGTCTTTAAATAGGCTCTACAGGAGACTGAAAAGTAGAAATGAGGAAGATAAGGGGACAAGTAGAGTGGCTCATTAAAAATCACAGGTAAAAGACGATTAAGGTAACCAAATAAGAGGGACTAACACGAACATGATCAGAGACCTTTAAGATTGGAAGGTGGAGAGAGAGCTTAGCAGAGCGACAATAAAGGAAAATGAAAAGCTAATTTTCAAAAGGTGTGGGGGGGAGAGGAAAAAGCCCTGGAAAATATTTACTCTGAATTCCTCTCTCTAGTGGAATACCCAAGTTTAATACTTCATGCAGCTTCCAATAGAGCACAAAGAGATGAAATTTCAAGACCAGTTATTGTCACTGTACAGAAAAATTTCAACCTAGCAAGCCTGAGATGCTAAATAGAAGCAATTATGAACAGCTAATACTGCCAGCTAAATTAGTTGCAGATATCATGATTAAACATTCCAATCTGATTTATCTGTATGCATTGTTCACAAAATGGTCTAAAATCAATTTGCATGGACTATTAGACATGCAGTTCTGAATTAACTCCAGAGTACAACACAGAGAATAAAATCAGAAAAATCAAAATGGTCCATCTATTCTAGCAAATACCCCGAGGGAATAACCGGCTACAAAAAAAAAAAATACTTGGGTGTTTTTTACTCATTTAAAATTAATGTAATTATTAGCTACTCAGGACAAAGACCAAGACTGAAGTTTTCGAACTTGTATCTGAAATTGGGCTCCTAGATTCATGTTTAGGCACCAAAACAAAAGTAGCTTTAATGAGGCCTTAAAAGCTTAACTTCAGGCACCCAATTTTGGCCAGCATGAGTTACCTGTTTGCAAAGCACGAGGTACGCTTTTGGCTCTGGAGAAAGTATAAATTCAAACAAATCCGTTACTCTAGATATTCTGTTTTTAGAGAAGATTTAAATAAAGGCTGGAATGAATCACTACGGTCTCCCTTTTGGAAGAGCCTCATTGAATTTGAGAGGAGGACAACTTCTGAACCATCCTCTAAACAGGGATGTTATTCTCTACGACTTTCCCAGAAAGGTTCCCAAGCAGTTGCACCTCGCTCTCAGAGTAAAGGAAAAATGCCTCACCTTGCCGTCTCCTTCCACTCCATCTCTTGTCCATCAACAGCCAGAAGCTCGTCCAGTTCGGTGAAGAGCTGAGGGGGTGCAGGGCTGTCATCTTCTTCACCCAAAATGAAGCGGATTCGCTCGGCAGCGGGGGAGACTGCAGAGGTGAAAATACTGCGGTTAACAGCCTGAATGATGATCTGGGATGTTCGGCTTCTCTCCTTCCCCTTCTCCCCAAAGCTATTTAGCTTTTTCTCCGTGTTGCCTTTTTCACTTGACATTTTAATTCTCTCTCTCTGTCTATAGTTCCCTCTCTTCCCTCTCCTCCCACTTACTTCTTAAAACTTCAAGCTGGGAGTAAAGTTCAGGAAGACTTGCCTCTTCCTACAGTCCCTAACTGTGTTACAACAATCCACAGCCCCTTGTAAAAAGAGAACTATCAAGCTCAAAACCAATACGTTCTATGGTGCATGCCCAGGACCTTTAGTACTCTGATCAGCTGAGGTCCTCCAGCCCTTTTTTTTATATGACATAAAACCAGTTTAAGCCAAACTGTTTTGGGGGTATACAGCAGAGGAAAAGCAGCAGCATCCCACTGCCAGCTTTCCCCTCCCTTTGGATGAAGCTGGCTTTTTAATTGGTTTGCAAGCCAATCTGTAACCCTCCAAGACTCATTACTAGTGAAAGGAATATTTAACAAAAAAGTTTGCCTCGTCTTTACATGAAGACTGTGCCCGAGCGTATTTAGTCAGGCATCAACGCACTGGAAAAAAACAACCCCCAGGTAAAATATTGTCCATTCAAGGAAAAGAAAACTCATTTTGCCATATGGCCCCGTGCTAAAGCAGATAATTGAAAGTTCTGTGGGGCTCCTTTTGACCTGTTAGCTAAGGAAAAATTAACTGAAATTCTCGCCAGTTCAAGGGGGAAAGAGAGTAGTTATCTTATCCTCATAATAAAGGACTTACAGCTTCACTCTAGGTATTTTACAGGTCTAACTATACCCTCAACAACAAAACCTCATGCTTCAACTGTCTTTAAATGTAACCTGCAGTAGACTTTTAAAATAGTGGTTTGTGCTCTTGTTTGCTTCTTTCTCATGTATAAAGAAGAGGTAAAGGACGGTTGTTGGGTTTGGTTCTGATTTTTAAGAGGGAGAAAGGGCTTTTTCCCCACTTTTTTTTTTTTTTAACCTCAATTATCAGAAATGTCAAGTCTGGTCCTTCCCTACGGTTTTACTAGGGGATTGCTTGAGATCGAAGAAGTTTTTGTAAGTTCTCACACTTTAAAACGACGAAGTGGAGTGTTGAAACCTAAAGAAAGATATCCTTTCAACTGAGTGTTTATTGGGCCTTAGAGTTAAATAGAAGTTTACAAAGTAGGCGTTCTAATCAGTCTAACTAAAAATTCCTCCCCTCTCCCATATAAGAATGATTCAAAAAATATGGGAGGCCATGGTTATGAAAAAATTAACATACCAGTTACATACAAAATAGACTGAGGACAGATAGATACTTAGATATTTGATTATCTTTTATTCTATACTCAAAGTACGTTCACCTTGAAAAACACCAACACATGTGTCCAATTAACATTTGATAGACACTCCTGGTCTGTTAAATATATGTCTATTTGGATTTCACTCAACTTAACATCACTAGAAACAACATATTATAGGTTTTCTAATGATGCTCCCTCTGTAATATGGTAACATCCTGTTAAAAAGAAAGACCTGATGCCTATTTTCCTGTATAAAGTCTCTTTAAATAAAAGCTCCTGCTGTAATGGCGGCTTTATTTCTGATATTTACATGGCAAGGATTTGTAAACTTGTTAAAACGTCCTAAATAAACAAACAGAAAAACAAAATCCTTCCCTGTCAATAGCTCAACTTTCCTTCTCTTGCAATAGAAATATTTAACCAGTTCTCCAGTCGCCATAAGAGTTTCCCAGGGTAGACAAGATCTGAACTTCTAATGTAAAGAAACAAGCAAGAACCATTTCCCCTGCCCTAAAAAGAGACCTTTCATGGTTTCTATACATTATGAAGCAAAAGTGGGCCTAAACGCACTTATTTTTCATTTGCAGCTACACCTTTAATTAAAGTGGCCATGTTTTTATAATAAAAACCCCCAGATATTTCCCTTGTGCCATTATTTACACTATACAAAAAATAAAAGTCCACTTTTGTTTTTAAATGAGCACTGTCAATGCTACTGCCAACTCCCAGTACTACTGCAACCTAGGAATATTTCTCAGAATGGAGAATTTTTTCCAATAACTTAGTACCTGATTCTCATTCACAGTAAGACCACTTTACAGCCCTTTGGTAACGTAAAGGGGCCTTATCATACATAGAAATCACATCCTTGGTCTCGGATTGATTTTTTTGCATGAAACACTGAACAAGTGTTGCTAACAGTTACTTTGAGTAAAATTTTCAAAAGTGCCTAATGGCTTGTCTACACTTCACTAAAGCTGCGGCACTGTAGCGTTTGAAGATGCTACCTACACCGATGGGAGGGGTTCTCCCGTCAACAGAGGTACTTCACCTCCCTGAGAGGTGGTAGCTAGGTTGACATGAGAATTCTCCTACCAACCTAGCGCTGTCTGCACTGGGGGTTAGATTGGTTTAACTGCATTTCTCAGGAGTGTTGATTTTTCACACCCCTGAGCAGCATAGTTATACCAACCCAGTGTGGACCAGGCCTATATGACTTAGAAGCTTAAGTCCCATTTTCAAAAGTTAGTCAGCACTTAGGAGCCAAGTCAATGGGACTTAGGCCTCTCAATCGCTTTTGAAAGTGCGGCTTGGCCACTTTTGAAAAACGGTACGTACTGAGCAAAACACCACCAATCATGGGATCTACACTCATTTGACTTCTCTTTTCATACCAAACACTGGTCATCACAATGAGCACTTGTTCCACTCTATTTTTCCTGGTAAACACAGTGCAAATTCTATTTGCTATAGCAACGTTGAGGAGTTATTTTAAAAAAATGTTTTGAATGATTAAATGATACCCCAGAAGAAGTTTGTGAAAAAAAAACAGAAATGCCCCAGTAAAACTGGCACATATGCTCTCTTTACCTTTACCAGCATCTAACCCCTTCCTTGTTGTCCAGGGCTTGATAGCACATCAGTCCCAATCTTGAGAAACAGCTTCTAATAGTTTTGCTCATATTTAACTGCATTTATCTTTCATAGCAACTGGACATCTAACTGTACAGTTACTCACTGTGCCTGCAGCTCAAGCAGTTGGAAGTCTAAGAGCTACAAAATGTGGCTGCCATCATTTGCTGACTATCAGGACCCAGACTACAGTTCTAAAAAAATCAAATCAGACCGTGGTGTACAAACCTCCATGTTTCAAAATCCGTGTAACACTAAGGCAAAACAGAGTGAGGCAGGGATGGTGTTTTTAACTTTGACTGAAATTTCATTGTACTTGTTGAATCTTTGCTTAATTTCCTCTGGCTTTTTGGGGGGAGGGTGGAAGCAGAGGTGTGGGGATGAACATGTATTGTTTATGGGGAAGATTTTCAAAGACAGGTGCACTTCCCCCTGACTTTCAATAGGAATATCTTTGTGCCTTTGAACAACTTCTGTTTTAAAAAAGGACACTAAAACCAAGTTCGATATAAGTTATGAGAAGGGGGATTCAAAGAAAAATCCCAGAGATCTGCTATGGGATACATCATAATTCTGGATCCAATATCAAGCCAATGGCCTTAGCATTCATCTGAAGTTTGTACATTCTTCTCTTCATAGAATCATAGAATATCAGGGTTGGAGAGGACCTCAGGAGGTCATCTAGTCCAACCCCCTGCTCAAAGCAGAACCAATCCCCAGACAGATTTTTGCCCCAGATCCCTAAATGGCCCCCTCAAGGATTGAACTCACAACGCTGGGTTTAGCAGGCCAATGCTCAAACCACTGAGCTCTCTGCCCCACCCCTCTCATTTCATACTCTATCTATAACAACTCTGGAGAAGCCATTCTCTGAATATGTCTTAACAGTACATAGTCCATTAGGTGGACTGCAGTTTGGTTTAGGGCTTGTTTGTTTTTTAGGACTCCCCTGTTTTTCCTGATGAGCAGGAAGGCAACAGGCTCTAGAGCAAATAGGCAACAGGCTCTAGAGCAAATCAAGAGCAACCCTAGAGAACAATACAAGGCACTGCCTTCCTTCCTCTCTGGCTGAATGTGACAGCTATAAATGCTTATTGACACCACATTTTTACATTATGGACCAAATTTTGGACCACTGTCAATGGGTGTAGCTCCAAATTTGGCCCTGTAAATACATAATTTATCTTCTCTCTGCTTTATCCTCCTTCTCAGTTTTGAGATGTTGCTTCTCTTTCAGTTGATCTCTGCAGGAACATGAGGTGCAGTCCCCCCAGTACCGAGCACTGGACTGCTAAGCACACACCTCATGAAGGCCAAACCCTCTAACCATAGTCCTGCTGCTCAGCAACAGTTCCAGTGATTCTATTTTCTGACCCATTTCCACTGTAACCATCCTCCAGGTATATCACCTAGAAGCCTATTCTATAACCGATCTGTGTAACTGTTCACTACCATGTTACTATACTTGAATGAGTTCTCACCTTCCCTCAAATAGAATGTGAACCAGATCAGTTTGTTCATCACCTGTATGACTATATGTGGAAACATACTGATGTACCCTTTCATTTTTGAACTGCAAGTCATTTCATTGTGTTTACCCCTAAAGGGTATGTAGTGGGGCAGCTGCCCCACTCCTGGAGAACAGGGGTAAAAGCAGCCAAGCTAGGCTGATTGGAGAAGCAGCCACAGCTGTGGCCAGCTCAATTAGGTCCCAGCTGGCCCTGATAAGAGTCTCACTCTAGCCCTGAAGTGGGAAGGGCCTAGGTGCCTGGGAGCAAGGTACCTGAAGCAGAGCAGGGCTGGGGAAAAGGGCAAGGGAGCTCCGGCCTGGAAAAACCCCAGGCTGCAGGCCTACAGAGGTACTGGGGCTGCAGAGATACAGCCTGGGAATAGGCAAAGGCAGCAGGTCCTACCCCAGATGATGACTGGCAGTAGCCACTGAGGCATGGTGGGCTTAAAAGGGTGGAGGTTCCCCTGGGAGGGGAAACCCAGAGTAAGGGGGTACTGGTGGGGGCAGAGCTGCTT